TATATTATTATTTTATATTTGAGATTTTACAGGGTATCTCCATTAAATTCTTTAACTGAGTTAGCTTTTGTTTACACGTCAAAAAATAAATTCCCATTTTCTATTTTCTCTTTTCCATTCGCAAATACGCGGAATATTTGTCAATCAATTAGTCCATAGAGTAAACACTTGTCCCAACAAGCGCATATAGCGCCGCATCGATTCTCTGCAGCATTCAAAGGGAAGTCTGATATTTATACACTTTGACTCCCACATTGCAATGACCTGGATTTACGAGCGGCAACTGCAACTGCAACGGCGACGACGACTGCAGCAGCGAGAGCTTACATAATGAGGCTGGGAGTCGCATATTTTGAGAGGAATATAGGGGAATGGGAGTCGGAGTCGGAGTCCTACTCATGGGCAAGTGCCGCTTCAGCCATAGAAAAATAAACACGGAGACCGCAAAATATATATGAGACCCATGGCTTGAGCGAGGCGGCGTCTAATGCTGGCCTATTAGCTAAGCTCTATGCAACTGGCAGCATCAAGTTGAAGATGAAGCAATCAAATTTCAGTTGAACAAGCCAACGCGACGTCGACAACAGACAGCGAGCAGACCCCAAGCGACCTGGCGGAAGCGAAAGATCCAGCGAAACCTGGCTGCATTGTCATTGCAGCTGCTTTCAGCTTTCTGCCGTCTGCCGTCTGCTTTCCGTGCGACGTCGGTGTCGGCTGCACGCTGAAGATGGGGCATCAAGACGACGCCAATGGCTACATGGCTGCTCAGTTCATATTTGCACATGTCTGGCTGTGCTGCCAACGCGATGCTGCAATGCGAGCTGCCTGTGGTTAGGCTCGCAGGTTGTGTGGCAAGCTGAGCCGCCGCGTATTCCTGGCCAGTGGCATGTGGCTGCTGACTTTTCCGGTGGCAGCCAAGATGCGCTTACACATAAAACTGCTGACCATGGCTCACTATCGCCAGACCATCGCCACTAGCCACCAGCCGCCAGCCACCAGCCAATATTTGATTCAACAAATTAATGATGCAAATTGTGCATAAGAAATTACCAAAGCCGAATCGGACAGCCATAAAAACATTAACGCCGGCAGCCCAGAGCGAGCCGCAAGCAAATGCCGATTCGTCTAGACGAGCTGCGGACCCAGTTTGAGCCACGTTTCGGGGCTTAGTCAGCGATTGGATGTGGGATTGGGTCGTGGATTGGCGCCCAGTTGAGCTTGCACCATCCCATTTGCAGCCAGGCACTTGCCCCTGCACAGTGGGACAGGCCGCTGGGGAAAACCTGAAATTGCATACCGCAAAACTCTAAGGAGAGCCAATACTTTTTAACAGTTATGTCAGCTGCAGAAATATGGATAAGGCCATATAAACAGCGGGCCATGTAGCTGCAACATTTCGTGGCAATAAGTTAGAGTCGAGGAAGTTTTGCATGTTGCGAAAAACAGTTGAGACAATTGGCCAAAATGGAAATTATGGAAATTATATATGCAAATATTTGAA